TAAAATTTTATAAACACACTGAGGATAGCTAAGACAATTGTGCTACAAATTCTATAAGTTCTTGAAACAAAATAGTTAGCATTCCTAGGATTGGAATAATTTTGCATGTTATTGTATGGTGATCTGAGGAACTCACAAAGATTGTTATGTAAAATAATAACCCTAGCCACACTCATACCACCTTTATTTGAAGGCCTATACCGTCAGTGTTCTGGGCTCATTGCTATTGTTGTTTATATTTCTTTTTCGTTCAGTGTTTTTCTAGGAATTTGTTTTGTTTTGTCTTCTTTTGTTTTGTTTTCCCTCCAATACAGAAAAAATAGATATACATGTAGAGACTCATGCATGCATAGAACTTCGAAACAGTTTATAAGAATGTATTATATAATGCACAATGAATGGAACAGCTACTTTGAAGAAAAAGAGACACTAAGGTACCCAGTGCTGATCCTGTAGCATCATGATGTGAAATCCAGCAATATTATTATTCTTTGTTCAGATCAATTTTAGTCTGTTTTGTTTTCTTTAATTTCAACATACATAAAGGTATGGACAGCTATTTAGAAGAGAATGAGAGACACTATGGCAGGCATTGTGGACTTCCCTATTGTTTGCTCTTGAAGACCTAAAATGCATTCGTCATCCTACTCTGATTAATTTTATACTATTTTTTCTTTTATGAATTCATTGTATGTGAAGGTATGGAAAACTATTTGGAAGAAAACAAGAGACAATATAATAAACAGTGGAGACTTTGGTTGTCTTGCTTTGAAATCTGTGTCTCATACATGGTTTTCTTATGATGTTTTGTTATGTTAAATTTTACCATGATTAAAACAAAACTTAAAAATAAACAGTCAAACTGTACACAGATTTGGATCTCTTCAATTTCCAGTGGCAAGAACATTAAAAACGACTAAATCTGCCCAAGTTGTTTTGCAGCAGGCTTTTGTATCCACTCTACACCTCTGTGAGATATTAGAACTTTGCTCTGTGCCTGTTCTAGTGACCTGCAGCTTACTGTCCTTTATGTTAGCTGCTACTGGTAACTCATGTTAGACACAAAAAAATAGACCCTTAGTAATTTACAAATGAGATGGAGGAGAAATAGGAATTAAGATATGTCCTGAATATGGACCCATTCTCCACGATGAATGCAATCATTATGTACTGCAAGCATGCACTAATAAAAAAGTATGAAATTTTAAAAAGAACTACACCAAGGTCCAGAAAATCCAAGCAAGCCATCATACCAACTTTTCAAAGTGCTTACAGAGATATAAGCACTCAGAAGACAGAGACATCTAAGCCAGATGGCACATAACTATAATCCAAGGTTTCTGGAAGGCTGAGGCAGGAGGATGTCAAGTGCAAGCCTAAACTGACTAACTTAGTGACTTAAGGAGATGCTGCATCAAAATACAAAAAATAAGGATAAAAGAGGCCGAGGATATAGCTTAGCATGAAGGCTATGATTTTAACCTCAGGCAAACAGGGAAAGAAAATACAAAGAAGGTAGGAGAGAAGGGAAAGTAGACGTACTGGAGTATTTATTTATAAAGAGAGTAGACAGGAGCTCTGAGAGGATGTGCCAGATTTCTTGGACTGTCATTAAAAAACAAATACCATGGACTTCAGTCTTTCAACACAAGGATTCATCTCCCTGGCTTGGAGGAAGGAATCTGAAATTGAACTCCCGCAGCAGATCGGACCCTGCACCACTCCCAGGATCATCCTGGCCTAAGCTGCTCACTCATTCACACTGCACAGAGACAGGAAGAAGCCTGGGGTCACCCTGATGTCCTCACATGGGCTCCTTTTAACACTGAGGCTACACAGTGCCTAGGAAAATAAAACACACTGATGACAAGGACTTTATGGCCACTTAGCAAATGAATAGTGTTTCCCTGTACCATTTCTGTCATTTTTCTGCAAAATCATCATCAGAGGATATAGGTCCTTGTTCCCACTGGAATCCTCACCCTGTAGACCCACACCTCTGAAGAAGTCCATAATGCAGGCCAAACCTGCCATTCTCACTGTGTTCTGAGCATATCTGGGCATCATGGGGCATCCAGAGCCAACCTGGAAATAAAACCAGCTATAAAATTATACCTCCTCCATCCTGAGCAGGGATTTTTATATTAAGAAACATTTTTATTAATCTGATGTGAATATATACACATCTAACATTTATATAAGGATATATAATTTTATAAGTAAATATATATTAGAGTTTATACTTCAATGAATATAATTTGATAAATATTAATGGAGATAAAGGTGACAGAATATTCACAAATTTTTAAAATATACATTCATGATAGAAGGCATATTTTTAAAAAAATTTCCATTTAATATTCATAAAGTTGTAACCTATTCTTCAGAAAGAAACATAATTTCTTTCAACATGAGTGCTTTTCTTGAGTTTAGCCACCAAATTCAGGAATAACTATTTCTAACATGATTTTAGTCCTCACAGAGTTTGTAAGGGAACAGCAGTGGCCAGAGTCTTTACAGCCTCCGACCATGTTGTTGTGGTGGAAATCTCTGAAAATCACTGTAAGGTGCATTTTCCTTCAGAGCTAGGGCAGACGCTGAGCGGGGTAAGCTTTCCCTCCTGGACCCTGATTTGAACACACATGCATGTGTCCTAGGGCCAGGTGCTGCGCTGGGGTATTTGGGCTCCTGTGGGAGGTGCAGAATTACATGCTATGGACCTCATGCCCACAGCTGCACAAAGCAAGGAATGTATCTCTACCAATTCCATCCAAACACAGAAAATATTTTCCATCATTCTGTTCAAAAGAAAGGGCTAGTGCTATGCCCTTCACCACTGCACCCACCAGGGAATTTGCATCTTGCTCCTCATAGAGGAACTGCCCATGCAAGTCTGAGATAAGAGCTCCCTCGTCACCTCACTCTGGGTAATCAGGACTTCTCACTCCAACTTCTCAAAATGAGGCACCATGTTCAGCTCCTGTGTCTGCTCATGCTCTGCCTGCCTGGTAAGGACATGGGGAGCCGAGGGGGAGATGGGGTGACAGGTGGGCCCTGGATGCCCCATGCTGCCCAGGTGTTCTCAGAACACAGTGACAATGGCAAGTTTGGCCTGCATCATGGACTTCTTCATCATGCATCATGGAGGCGTGGGTCTGCAGGACGAGGATGCCAGTGGGAACAAGGACCTATATCCTCTGATGATGATTTTGCAGAAAAATGACAGAAATTTTGCAGGGAAACACTGTGGGTTTCCTTGTGGCTGCTAGTTTAGGGGCCTGTTCTTCAAACTGAATATTTTGTGTGCACATCAAAATGGCAAAAATCATTTAGACAGATGTATATGAAAAAGTGTAAACAATTGAAATGGCTCAAGATGTTTGCATGTGGCCTTGACTTCATCATTTTAGAATCCACAGGAGAGGTGATGACCCAGACTCCACTCTCTCTGTCCATCTCACTTGGAGAGTCAGCCTCCATCTCCTGTACATCCAGTCAGTCTCCTGGCTAGTGATGGAAAAACCTATTTGTATTGGCTTGTGCACAAGCCAGGTCAGGTTCCACAGGAAATGATTTATCAGGTTTCCAATCAAGACTCTTGAGTCTCTGACAGGTTCAGTGGCAGTTTGTCAGAGACAGATTTCACTCTCAAAATCAGCAGGGTGGAGGCTGAGGATGCTGGAGTTTATTATTGTTGGCAAGGTATGTATACTCCTCCCACAATGCTACAGCCCCAAACACAAACCTCCCTGCCTGGGGAGGCCCAGCTGCCCCCCTGTCCTGCTGTCTGGGGAGCAGCACAGCACAGACTTCTCTGTGTGAGAGGAAGGGGCTGAAGAATCAGAACAACAAGTTGCAGCTGAGGCCTCTGCCCTGGAGGAAGATTGAGGAAGACAACAGTGTAACAAGAATATGTTCTTTGCTGAGGGATCTGACACAGAGGGAGAAGGATGCAACTGAGCACTACAGTTTCTTTAGGCCTTTAAAATTCTGTTCCTTTGTGAAAATTAATAAAACCAAAAGAAACACATAAACATGAATTTAGCCAAAAATTATTAATAAAATGGAAATGGCTTAAAAGGTTAGTACTTTATCTTTCACTGCCCTTTCTCTCTCTCTCTCTCTCTCTCTCTCTCTCTCTTGGTCTTTTTTGTTTTTATTGGTACCAGGGATCGAACTCATGACTGACTGCTTGCAAGCAGGCACTTATGCCACTGAGCTAAATCCCCAGTCCCCTTTCACTGCCCTCTTATCATGTTACCCAGGAGGGAATTAACAGCCATACATTGTCTTCTCAGGATGCCCGTCACTCCTGGAGATCTGCTCCCAGCTCACAAGGCCAGAGGGGACAGATCACATCTGGGCTACCAAGTGTGGTTCCATTGGCCCTACATGGATCCTGATGCCGGGCTCTCAGTTGTTACAGACTCCAAGATTAATAAAGTTTTCAGCTCAAAAATAAAATTTGGGTGACGCCACATCTTTCTGATCAATGCAGCAAGGGAAAGGTGGACATCCAAAGTGGGGCTCTGCATCATTGTGCACTGGATCTAACCAGAGAAGTTGGAGGGTGTTTATTTGGTGATATGCAGGCATATAGCAACCATGGGATAGGAGCAAATGAGTCCTGTGAGAAAATTTCTCACAGCATTTCATAACAATGGGAAATGGAATTTATAAATGTTTGTTCCTTTGTTGTGCATTATTACTCACTAAGACACAGAAGAGTTTAGTCACTACAAGATTCTTTCTTTCTAAGATTTTTACAAGCTAACAGGAAGTTGCATCCTACTACTTCTAGGATTAAACAGCCATCAATACAACCTATCCTTGTGACACTTGATAAATCTCTAGGCCCCAGTATCTTCCTTATTGTTAAAATCCCTCAAGATATCTGCTTCCCCAAAATTAAAAGTAGACTGAGAGAAAGCGACAAGTTTGTTTTTAAATTATTTTTAAAGAGAATAAAACAGAACAAAACCAATGAAAATAAACCAGTGTAAGTGATACAACATTTTAATACATTACAAAATCAGCAATAATTAACAGAATGCCTTTTGTTGTCTTCAAAATAGCTGAAGAGATCTTTGGACATAGTAAAAATCAAACAGAACAGAGTAAAATACAAACAATAAAAACAATAAATGCAATAAAGAAATTCAAAACAAGCCAATAGTAAATCCAAAATTGCTACCATAATACATACTGCTGTCTTTGAAACAGCTGCTCTTGCCATCCGACTTAACATAATCAAAAAAAAAAAGAGAGAGAGAATAAAACCTAACCCAACAAAAGAATGGAAATAATATATGACTTTCAAAACTAGACCATAGAGAATCAACAATGGATGGAACCCTCAGAAGGAGATCCTCTCTAGCTGTCACCTTGTGTACAGCTATCCCCTGAACCTACGATCAGACCACTGGCCCTATATCTGCAATATCAGTGAAACATCAAAGCACCACAGGCAGCCAATTGCATTTCACATTGATAGCTATCATGACAGCCTGTGTTTCTGGGTTGGGGAAATTGTGGGGGGTGCACTGATACTTCTTGTTTGTCATCCTGCAAGCTGGAAGGGGCTGAGGACTGACTGTCCACAGACCAGTGGCAGCCTGCAAGGCACTGGTTCTCAGATGGTGCTTGTTTCCTGGTGTGGCCTTTCAAAAATGAAGAGTTTGATAATGGGACAATAATATCTGTTCTAAAAGTTGGCCTTTGGGCCCTACTTCCAAAGTAATATTAAAAAGTCCCATTCACCTCCTCTGATACTTTTATCCATGTCTGAATGTGCTCACATGTCAGAGCTTTGACCCATCAGTAGATGTATTGAAAGGCGGACAGATTCTGGTCATATTTTAAAATTAGAGCAAATAAGCTTTACAGACATATTGAATGTGAGATGAGAGAGAAAAGTAAAAGGAGGATAAGTGTCATGTACTTGAATGAGTCACAAGAGAGTTTGTGTTGATGTCTATGGGAGACTGCCAAGCTGTGCTCTCCAGAGAAACAAGCCCCTTTGCCTGTCCTTCAACTCTATTCATTGAGATATGCTGAGCTGGTTATATGGAGCTGGTGGTTTCCTTATCCAGCTAGAAGAATGAGATCAAGCCCAGGTAATCATTATCCACAGTGTTGACACCTGGAATGGGGGCTCCAGGAGTGGCCTCTGCAATTCCAGGGCTAACACATAAGACAGTATCTCAGCAGAAGCATTGGGACTAAGGAAGAATTACACCATCCAAGAAGGAAAGGTTCCAGATTTGCAAGCATCAAATATCCTGTCTAATTGGAGAGCCTCTGTGGCTGGTACAGCCAATGCCTGCAAAGTGTCTCTTTCTAAACGCTCAGCCATGACCCCGACCCACATCTCTGATTGATACTGATAAAAGCCATGAACTTTTGGAATTCATGGCCTCTAGTTCCATGAATAACATTGGTTCCCAGAGCTCCTGAACTGTAGGATTTTCTCTCTTTGTCATTATCTTGCACCAGTGTGCTGTATTGCCAGGTGGAACTGCCTGATAAACTCCACAGGAGATTAATAAATGTACATGGAGTGGCAATAGGCATGAGGAGTGGAACTTCAGAATTTCAAGATGCCATCAGTCTTCCAATCTTCAGTGTTCTAGGGACAGATGAATTGTGAGATTCTGGAGGTCAGGGATTCAGTCTTAGCTGCAGTCTCATCAGGCAATGAATATTCACAGAAGAAGGCAGCCTGGGTCCTGCAATGTAACCCAAAATGCAGAAGTCAAAACAGGAGTTAAAACCTGAACTGGAAACTATAGATGAGGGCTAATGATGTAAGTATTAAAGGAAAGCAGGGAAGATTCCTTTTCAGCTCCCAAAGAGTGATATAAGCCTTAAATGTAAAGGAAAACTGCATTTCTTTGAGTTTTCTCTTTCTACCTAGTTCACTAAGAGGATGTCAGTTATGCTTATATCTTTTCTCTAAATTAAGGAGAACTTAAATAAATGTCTGAATTATGATATTAGTTATTGAGATCTTTCTATTTGAAGGCTCCTGTAACATGCTCACTTATAAATACGTTTGCTGGACACATACTTTCTGGTGGGTTCTGCTTCCATTTTCACTATTCAGTTGGTATGTTTTCTATTTTTTGTTTTTTTTGTTTGTTTTTCTTGCCTTCCCTTGATGTTTTTTCAATGATCAACTACTTCTTTCTTTAAAAGTGCATCATTGAGGTCTATTCCAGCTGCAGTCCTGAGGAGTCAGGGAAGGGGAATTGCCCAACAACTAGAAAGGCGGCTTTTGGCGGGGTTCCCCATCCAAGTTCAAGAACAGGAACAGGACTCTGGAGTTCTGGGCCTGCCAGCCTCAACAATTCCAGAGGCTGGGCAGCCTGGGGTGAGTGTGCCCACACCATCCCCTGAGCCCAGCTAGTTTGGGATCCTAGCTTGGCCCCGGACAGGGAACTTTACTGCTTCCTGTGGCACTGGACCAGCTCAGTGCATCTTGAGCTGACCTGCCCCGCCCCCAGTGACCCTTTCTCAATCTGGGGACCTGGGTGGCCAAAGGCCCAGGAGCTGAGGGGATAGAAGAGGATTTCCAACAGGCCCGGGGGAAGCCTTGCAATAACACTTGAAACACAGAAATATAGGAAAATGACAAAACAGAAGACCAAAATACAATCTGAAAAATCCAGCCCATCCCAAGAAACCCTAGGAGCAATGTACACAGAAGAAAATATATGCCATACACCTGAAATAGCTGAAATAATAGCAACTTAAGTAAAGAAGCAACTCCGGGAAGCTTTAAAGGAATTTAAAGTAGAAATAATCTCCTGAGTAAAAGAAAAAATGACCAGATGCAGATGTCTTTGTAAAACCTCAGAGTCAAAACTGATGATGAAGAACCTGATGCCTCCCATGTACTATTATTCCCTCATAATAAATTATGCAAGGTCACTTGCTCAGTTCATAGAGCTTGATTTCCAGTGCTCTTCCCCTCATTGAACCCATCATCTCACCTACAGACCAGTGACAGCGTGGCTTTACTCTCTCACAGCTTTGATGGGACTCTCAAACTGACCCCTTTCCACAGTGACCACCTCAGATACCCTCCAGGGCCATGTCAGTCACTGGCTCAAATTACTCTGAGATGGTAAAAACCTTGATTCAATGGTGACATTCTGACGTTTAGAATATTGCTTTAAACTATGGGCTATAGCTGTGTAATATCTATTAAAAGGAACAGTAGATATGAGAAGGATATTTTATGATCATTCTGAACAGTAGTACAATTTTTCATTGTATGTTAAAATCAAGAGAAATCTTTCTTCAAGAAAGGTTTTGATAAATCCAGAATGTGTGTGTTTGTGGGCAACTGTGTGTATACATTTCTACAAGGAAACAGGCATCCTTAGAAATTTACAAATTTCAAAACCTATTCACAAGCAAATTCACATCCACTATGTAGGGCATATATTTTTTTCCTTTTCCCTTTTGCGTTCCATGGAGAAGCAAATTTACAACTTGAAGATAAATATTTTACTCTGTATCATACTTCTTTTAACTTTGGTGCTTTTATATCATTTAATTTCTAGATCATATAAAATATTTTTCTAATACTTATAAATATAAGATGATGAGAGTTTACCTGCTCCTATCAGATCTTACATTTAAAAAAATATTAAGATGAGTTCTCATGAAGTGAGAATTTCTTTGTTCCCAAGGCTAAGAAGCACGAGCCTTCCCCTCCCAGAAACTGATCTGCACACGCCCCCATATCCTGGGGACTTCAGTCCTGTCTGGGATGGGCACAGCCCTGAATATTCTGTACCTGATGGAGACTCGGACACAGCATGGACTGTAGCTCTATTGTTTTCCTCCCAATGCAGAGATATTTTATACCACTGGGCTCACATGAGAAGCCTCCCACCATGCTGTTCACTCTTTCTGCACCACTGCACCCACCATGGAATTGGCATTTTGTCCCCAGGGAGGACCTTCCCAAGAAAGTTTCAGATATAAGCTGGCTCTAGCTTTCCCTTAACTGATCAGGACTCTTCAGTTCAGTTTCATGAAATGAGGCTTGCTTTTCAGCTCCTGGGGCTGCTACTGTTCTGGATCACTGGTAAGGACACAGGGATATCAGGAGGGGCATGAGGTAAGAGGGAGAGCCTCGGGGTCCCACTGCCACTCAAATGATTTCTGTCCACACCTGAGATGTGCAGCCCTCACTTGAACCATGGGTGTGTGAGGTTAGATCAGAGTGAAGAAAATTCTTAAAGGACTCAGGACCTGACCTATCAGGAAGACTTCCAAAAAAGAAAGAGAGGGTTGCTCATACCAATTCTAGAGGGATTCTTGTGATTAGAAAAAAAAAATATATATATATATATTATATATATATAAAGTATATATATATATATATATATATATATATATATATATATATAAAGTATATGACAATACTTTAGCTTGATAATGGCAGGAAAGAGAAAACCATGATAGTTGATTCATGATTTTGCATTTCTCTTTCACCATTTTAGGATCCACAGGAGATGTGATGACACAGACCCCACAATCTCTCTCCATCTCTCCGGGAGAGCAGCCTCCATCTCCTGCAGATCCAGTGAGAGCCTCTTGCATAGTGATGGGAACACCTATTTGAGCTAGATGTTGCACAAGCCAGGCCAGGCTCCTCAGGGCATGATTTATAAAGTTTCCAGCTGGTTTCCTGGCATCTCAGACAGGTTCAGTGGCAGTGCCTCAGGGACAGATTTCACATTAAAAATCAGCAAGGTGGAGGCTGAGGACACTGGAGTTTATTATTGTTTACAAGATACAAAACATCCTACCACAGTGACACAGCCCTAAACAAAAACCTCCCAGCCAAGAGATGCCCAGCTGCCCTCCTGCACTGCTCTCTGGGGAGCAGCACAGCACAGACTGCACTGTGTGAGAGAGAGAGGTTGAAGAACAAGTTGCAGCTGAGGCCTCTGTCCAGTAGTAAGAGTGAAGGAAACAACAGAGCAGCTGGGATGTGTGCTCTGCTGAGTGTCTGGCACAGAGGTAGAAGGATGGAGAAGACTCCCTTGGGGATATCATGAGTATGCATTGTCCCCTCAGCCTGTCTGTCACTCCTGCAGAGCCATCCCCCTGTCCTGCGACTCAGTGGATCATCTGGAAGTGATGCATCATGCAGATCTCTTGGTCTTACTGCCTCCATGAAGATTAAAGCTCCTGGACAAAACAAACTTCAGTCCTGTCACATCTCTCATCAATGTAGCACAGCATATGTGAGCAGCCAAATTGTGATTCTGCCTCATTATATACTGCGGATGACCTGAGAGAAGCTGAAGGATCTTCATTTGGTGATACCCGGAAATAAAGCTATCATGCGATGATGGCAAACAACTTGTCAGAAAATGCTTCATAACACTTAGCAGCAAGTACACAAGGGTTTTTTTTTTTTGGGCCATTTTTGCTTCCATTCTTCAGTACCACTCACAAAGACATATGCAGCTTTATTCTCCACAAGGATCTTTCTTTCCATACGTTTTACAAGCAAACAAGACATGCAGACTAATTTCTGTCAAAATTAAGGCATTCATCTCACAACACCACCCATCTTCGTAAGTATCATTAGCCTCCATTTCTTTCTTTTCCAGAAAATTCTACAGGGCCACTTCTTTTCAGAGAGAAAGAGGGAGAGGGAGGGAGGGGGAAAGAGAAACAGAGACAGAGACACACAGAGAGACGCACCAAGAAAAGGAAAAAAAAAAGGAGATCCTATAGAGCCAAGACAAAGTTTTAAAAATGATTCTCTTAGACTGCAGAACATGGCGGACAGACAACAGCAACTACTGAACGCTCTCTAAAGGCTCGGCTCAGAGGCCAGGAATGATGCGGACTAAGGAGATACGAACCAGTAGAGATATGCTCTGCTGACTCAGGAACGAACTGGGCTGAGAGAATCCAACTTGGAATACAGTCCTGGCGCTAAAATAGGAACAGAAAAATCTCGGTGTGGAGGCTCGATTCCGCGCCATTGGAAACCGCGGTTTGGATTTCCCGCCGCCCGGCGGCCGGCTACCTCCACAGCGGCTCGGCAAGGAGAGACGCGACCGCCGAGCTCTGGGAAGGGGAGTCTCCGAACGGAGTCCCCACGCCATCGGAAACCGCGGTTTGGATTTCCCGGCGCCCGGCGGCCGGCTACCTCCACAGCGGCTCGGCAAGGAGAGACGCGACCGCCGAGCTCTGGGAACGGGAGTCTCCGAACGGAGTCCCCACGCCATCGGAAACCGCGGTTTGGATTTCCCGCCGCCCGGCAGCCGGCTACCTCCACAGCGGCTCGGCAAGGAGAGACACGCAGAGGCTCGGGAACGGGAGTCTGCGAACGGAGTCGGAAATGCGACGGACAGGGAGGAAGGCTGACTGGTGGCGAGGTGAGTGAGGAACTGACTCCCTACCACAGTTTGACTCCAGCGGAGGTTTTTCTGGGCTCGGGCAGTCCTGTAAGAGCAGGGCGCGGTGGCAACTGCAGCCGCACATTCCCCTCTCGGATGGGATTGGTGAAAGGTGCCTGGCCGGAGTGACGCTACTGGCGGACTCCCTAGGCTGGCCTAACCCAGATCCCAGAGCCTGACGGTGGCCCAGAGGAGCGACCGACTCCCGCGTAGGCTGCCTCCTCCGCAACTCCCTGGGGCGCAGCGGTGGGCGGGAACAACTAGCCAGCACAATTTGATCAGGCTGTGGC